TGGTTGTGAGAAAATAGAGCCACTGAGTTTGTTTCATCCAAGATTTGGTAGCATGTTGCGTGTAAAGTCCAGAGCTGTGTGAGTCAGGAAGCAAACACTGGCTGCTCTTAGTCCCAGATAGAGGGTTTGCCAAGACCTGAACTCACTCAAGTTTGGGAGGTTACAAACTAAACTTTTCTTGCCCTAACCGGTTTGGTTCAGTGGATAGAGTGTTAGCCTGCGGACTGAAAGTTCCCAGGTTTGATTCTGGTCAAGGGCATGGACCTTGGTGGTGGGCACATCTGCAGGAGGTTTGTAGGAGGCAACTGGTCGATGTTTCTCTCTCATCGATGTTTCTAACTGTCTATCCCTCTCCCTTCCTCTCTGTAAAAATCAATAAATTAAAACGAAAACACACCACTAAACTTCTCTGACCCTGTTCAGTCAGCCTGAGCTGCTGCAATATATTGACTCAGTTGGTGTTTACTTGATAGTCACTGATTAAGGCTGCTGGCACCAGTTTTCCTCTGGCATCTGGGACCCAGGCCTTTGCTCTGGCTGGGCCCCGGCCAGAGCCCCGCCTTCCAGCTGTGAGGCCTCGCGGCTCCCCTGATCCCAGGTCCATGAGGCCTCACTGCTCTGCCATCCAGGGGCTGTGAGGCCTCGCTGCTCTGATCCCTGGGCCGTCAGGCCTTGCAGCTCCACTGATCCCGGGTCCATGAGGCCTCGTGGCTCCACTGATCCTGGGTCTGTGAGGCCTCGCTGCTCAGCCGGCTTGGGGCCATTGGGCTTTGCTCCACCACTTGGAGCCTACATATGCAAATTAACTGCCATCCTTGTTGGTGGTTAATTTGCATATCACCCTGATTAGCCAATGGGAAGGGTAGCAAAGGTATGGTCAATTACCCTTTTTGTCTTTTATTAGATAGGAAGAAGGATTTTTATAAGTGCTCTCATTTCCAAGGACAAGGTATCCTAGTGTTTGATAAAGCATTAAAGGATAAACAGTTGTTTATAGACAAGGATTGCCCCCCAAGGTATGAGTTCTCAACTTGTCATTAATCTGTGAATCCAGAATATTGAACAATTTTTAAAAAAATATATTTTATATTGATTTTTTTACAGAGAGTCTGGCCACTGAGCCAAACCAGTTAGGGTGAGAAATTTTAAAAAATATATATTTTATTGATTTTTTACAGAGAGGAAGGGAGAGGGATAGAGAGTTAGAAACATCCATGAAAGAGAAACATCAATCAGCTGCCTCCTGCACACCCCCTACTGGGGATGTGCCTTCAACCAAGGTACATGCCCTTGGCCAGAATCCAACTTGGGACCCTTCAGTTCGCAGGCTGATGCTCTATCCACTGAGCCAAACCAGTTAGGACCAAATGTACCTATTTTAGAAAAACAATAAAAGGAAATTAGTATTTTCCTTAGAATATCTGTAATTTAATAAGCTAGAAACCTGAAAGT